AAAACATGTTAGCTTTATAAACTTTGTTTCCCATCCAGAAACATGCCTTTCCATTTTTTAAAGTATTATATTCCTGAGTAAATTTTTCTAATTTTCTTCATGTAAATTCTATACAATTTTGTTATTGTAAATAGTTTTTTCATTGTATTTTTCTAGTTGATTATTGTTCTTATAGGAGTTATTTTTAATTATATATTTGTGAAACTAGCCACGTCATTGAATGTTGTTAATCTTCAGTAATTTCTCAGTTTCTCAATTTGTGGTTCAAAATTATACCACCCACAAATAATAGTTTTGTTCTTTTTTATTTTTTAAACATGTAGTTCTAAGCTTTGTTTTGGTTCGAAGCATACTAAAAAAGGACCTTTGATGATACAGTTCAGTCCTGAGTCCTAATTCAAACACTTAAAGGCCACATAAAAACTGTCCTTTATCAACTTTGTATTTTGAGCCTACAGTACCCTTTAAAAACCAGGGACAAAACTGGCTGCCAGCAATGTTATTCTCTTACTTCTTGAGAAGACTGGCTGGGGTCTGCCTAGTTATCACACCTAGAAAACAAAGGCTAATTGGCTGCCAAGCAGTGACTGGAGAGGGTGGGGTCCATGGGGCAAGACTGTTCTGTCCCCTATGAAAGGGTCTGACCACACAGTCCTCAAGGCCTTTCGGTGTGTGATACTCCCACGACGCAAACCCCCTCCCCACACCAGGAGGTGCCCTCGGTGCCCTCAGTGCCCTGGGCTGTGGTGCAGATGAGGACCCGTGCAGTCAAAGTCATTGGCAACTACTGTCCCCAGAGGCTGGGGCCTGGGCGCCTGACTTCCCTGCACCTACCCCCTGGACCCCAGAGGGTCTGGAACAGAATGTTCTTCACTCCTACCCTTGAGCTCAGAGCAGGATGCCCAGGGTCAGCATCCCCAAACAGGAGTACACTGGGAAGGTGTTAGATGAGAAAGTGCTCAATAAGGAGCTGACAACCAGTTAATGAAAAACAGCACACAACAATGAATGGTCTTCCAATAGAGCAGCAAGGGTCAGAACATCTGAAGGACCAGATAATCCGATTCCAGTAACAACTACAAATTGAAGGCATGCATCCCCTAAAGATGCAGCACAAGGCCCTGGGCTGTAAAAGGAAGCCACATACCCATGGAATTTCTTAAGGTGGGAGGTGGGGGAGAGGGGACATAGAAATTCATTAAAATAAAGAATACATATGCAGCTCCACATTGACAAGTGCTAGGAAGCAAAGGATTCTAGAAGAGTGTTATAGGTGGATTTTCCAGAGAGGACTCGGGAAGTGGCCTTTACACTGAGACCAGATGGATGAGATAGTGGAGGAAGGGGGCAGCAAGGGGATATTTCAATAAGAATACATGAACAGACAATTTTTAGGTAAGCTTGAATGGCTACGAGAAGTATGAAAGAATCTTCAGGCTTACTAGTAATCTAAGAATTATAAATTTGAAGAACAAAATGTCATCTTAGGTGTATTAAATGAGCAGCATGTGTGTGTATATGTTTGGCTTGGCAAAAGGGGAATATTAGCACTCATCTATTGTGACAATGTTAAAAAAAATTACTACGTGTCCCATCAATTTATCTTCTCAATATAAGGAAAAATAGAATACTGAAAATTAAACACAACCTAAATGAATAAATATGTATAATACATAACTAATAAAAAGCAATGCTTTTATCTTAGTTGGCTGGGTGGGTCTCATCCTCTCCATTCTCTCTTTTTTAGAAAGATTTTATTTATTTGAGAGAGCAGGGGGGAGGGGGAGAGGGAGAAGCAGACTCCCCACTGAGCAGAGAGCCTGATGCAGGACTTGATCCCAGGACCCCGGGATCACGAACCGAGCCGAAGGCAGATGCTTAAGCAACTGAACCACTCAGGCGCCCCTCTTTCCATTCTCACTTGAGCCCACTCCAGTTTCAATTCCAACACTTCACTGAACATTTATAGAATATTTCACCCAACACCAGCAGAACACACATTCTTCTCAAGTGCATGTGAAACATCACCAAGATGGACCACATCTGGGCCATGAAGCGCACTTTAGCAAATTTTAAAAAATAGAAATCATACAGAGTATGCTCTTAGATCGCAGTGAAACTAAACCAGAAATTAATAACAGATAACTGGAAAATACCAAAATATTTGTGGAAATTTAACAACACACTTCTAAATAACAGGTCAAAGAATAAATCTCAAGAAATTAAAAAATATTTTGACCTAAATGAAAATGGAAATACAACTTACCAAAACTTGTAGGATGCTGTGAAAGCAATGCTTAGAGGGAAATTTTTAGCACTGGATGCATATATTAGAAAAGAAAGATCTAAAATCAATAATCTAAGTTTCTACCTTGAGATCTACAAAAGAAGAGGAAATTAAATCCAAAGTGAACAGAAGAAAATCCATTAAAAAAAAAAAACAATAGGGCGCCTGGGTGGCTCAGTTGGTTAAACGACTGCCTTCGGCTCAGGTCATGATCCTGGAATCCCGGGATCGAGTCCCACATCGGGCTCCCTGCTCCTCAGGGAGCCTGCTTCTCCCTCTGACCCTCCCCCCTCTCATGTGCTCTCTCTCTCTCATTCTCTCTGTCTCAAATAAATAAAATCTTTAAAAAAAAAAAAACAATAGAAATCGATGAAATTAAGAACAGGAAGTCAATAGAGAAAACCAACAAAATCAAAAGCTGATTCTTAGAAAAGTTCAATACAATTGATAAACCTTTAGCCAAGCTAACTAACAAAAGAGAAATGGCACTAATACTACTGCCAGGAATGAAAAAGGGGTCATCACTATGAATCCTTTGGACCTAAAAAGGACACTAAAGGAATATTATTGTGAAAATAAGGGAAACTTTATTTTTTTCTTAAGTAGGCTCCACATCCAGCATGGAGCCCAACATGGGGCTTGAACTCAGGACCCTGAGATCAAGACCTGAGCTGAGATCAAGAGTCCAACACTCAAATGACTACACCACTCATGCACCCCAGGAAACGTCACTTTAAATGGAGTGGGGAGACCAGAAGGAGGAGCTCTCACACCCTACCACTCCTCATCATTTACAGACCCAACAGGAACAGCTTTTTGAGTAGATACTACTTGACTACCTCAGCAGGAGAAAGAAAGGTTTTCTCCTTGCCCAGCAATAACCCAGACAATGACAGTCACAACTCAGTCAATGAGGAGGCACTACACTTTGGAACTCCCAGTTAACTCCAATGGACTTTTCGCTTATAACAGCCCCTCCCAACTCCCCGCCTTTCTCTATAAAAGAGCAGTCCTCTACTTCGTTTTCAGGGATTGCCTATGGTTTTGCGACTGCTAGCATGTCCCAAATTACAATTCTCTCCTATTCCCAAATAAACCCATTTTTGCTAGTAAAATAACTGACAATTTTACTTTTAAGGTTAACATTATGAATAACTCTATGCTCACAAATTTTATACTGATAAAAGGATAAAACAAGAATAAATACAATTATAAACATATATGCATTTAACAAGACAGCACCAAAATACATTAAACAAAAGCTGGTTTCTTTCAAAATTTCAAGGAACAGGTACTTTCTATCTTACAAAGAATTCTTGGATATATAGACTAAAAATTGAAATGTTACCATTTATTCCATTAGGCAAGCATATCAATACACAAATATGACAAATATAAAAATCACATGTTAAACTCAGAAACATCCTCTGATTCTGAATTCTGTTTTATACAAGATGTCATTTTACCTATCTCTCTGAAATTAAGGGAAACTACACTATTTTCCTCTTTGTTCCTCAAAATCCAGAGCATCCTGTTAGTGATGTTTTAACCAGTTTCGTATGTTGGTCAGATTTTTATGTTCTGCAATCATTTTCAAAGTAAATTTAGTTATACTTTTAAATAGTATATTTCCCTCATTTTTTTTAAGATTTTATTTATTTATTTGTCAGAGAGAGAGAGAGAAAGAGCACAAGCAGGGGGAGTGGCAGGTAGAGGGAGAAGCAGGCTCCCCGCTGAGCAAGGAGCCCAATGCAGAACTCGATCCCAGGACGCTGGGTGAAGGAAGCCACTTAACCGACTGAGCCACTCAGGCATCCCTCCCTTATGTTTTATTTTAGAAACAGAATTAATAGGCAGCATATTTTCCTAGAGCAACTTGATAGAAATATATAAGTACAGTAAAATAAAATTGTGGAGACGATATAGTAATTTAGAAAAGCTTTATTACAAAATTATAGCAGAAAATCAGGATATAAATTAGTAACTACGTAAAATATCTCTGCACTGACATAAATTGAAGGCAGGGTGGAAAAAAAGATGCAGTTGATTGACATGGCTGAGATTCTGGAAGATATTTGTTTAACTTACCCATATTCCTGCTGTAATGCTGTATGACACAGAAAGCTCAGGTAAGAAGATAAAAAATAATTCCTTGAATGCATGGCAAAATTAGGGCTTCTTGGAGCCCTAAATGAACCCTTCCCTTTCCTGCCAGTCTGGCTCTCCAGTAAGATGTCTTCCTATCTCTATGTCTCTGTTGTGAGAAAGAGAAATCAGCGCTGACATACAGGAGATTTCCTGGCATTCACAGCTAGCTGTCGATGCTCTCCCAATGAACACAGACACTATCAGTACCACACACGGTCATTCTGTGACTGTTATGGCGCAAAAAGAGACGACTCTGTAATCATAACTGAACACAAAAACGTGAACACTGTCCAAGCCACAAAAATAACCAAACTCCTCCCCCCTATCCTGGCTGATATGAGTCACTACTACTTCTTTGCCAATCACAGCTTTGGCCTTAGTCTAGTCTTCCCTCCTCTTAGATAAATTTTTTTTTTGAGAGAGAGAGAGTGGGGGGGGTGGGTTGCAAAGGGAGAGAGAATCTCAAGCAGACTCTCCATGGAGTGCAGAGGCCAATGCAGGGTTTGATCTCACAACCTTGAGATCATGACCTGAGCGGAAATCGAGTCGGATGCTTAACCAACTGAGCCACCCAGGCGCCCCTCCTAGATAAAATATTTTCAGATACTCAATCAGAATCATCCCCACTATGTGACACATGTAATCCAGAGCACAGACCCAATTCTTTAAGTCCTCACTAAATTCACCTCACACAAACTCAAGTCTTTTAGTATGTCCTGTGTAGCACCTTCTTACTAAGATGCTCACTACTCCCCATGGTATGTATTCTCCCTTGTGAGCCTAATAAACCAGAATTATTCAACAAGATATATATATTCCTAGTCAGTTTTGGCTGGAGGGCACTGGCAGTTCTAACAGGTGATTTGGTAAAACGATCTCTCTTTCCACCTTTAACCTGAAGTGGCTATATCAAGTCTGATGTCCCAAGACAGAAACTAGAATAATATTCAATGACAAATGGCTAAGTTGTGCACAATAGAAAAAACAAATATGATCTTCTTAGAAATTAGTTCCTTCCAAGATTTTCTTAGCCCATTTCATTACGAAGTAGAAAAAATTTCATAGCAACCACTTTTCCAAGAGCCCTTTTATGTCTTTGTTTCTCAGGCTGTAGATGAAGGGGTTCAGCATGGGAGTCATCACTGTGAACATCATAGCAGCTGCTATATCTGTCTCAGCTAAGTGCAAGGATAAAGGGTTGAAGTACACAGCAATGATGGTGCCATAGAAGAGAGAAACCATGGCCAGGTGGGAGCCACGGTGGAGAAGGCTTTCCATTTTCCCTTTGTAGACAGGACTCTTAGGACAGCAGAGGTAATACGGACATATGAAGCCAAGATGCAAATAAATGGAGCGATCATTATCAACCCTGCTTCGAAAAGAATCATCATCTCATTGAGGTGTGTGTCAGAGCAGGAGAGTTTCAGGAGGGGTGTCACATCACAGAAGAAGTGGGGGATGGCATTGTCTGCACAGAACGAGAGTCAAGCCATCAGCAGGGTATGCAATAGAACATTCAGGTTGGCAATGACCCATGACCCAGCAACCAGCAGGGCACAGAGCTGGTGGGTCATCTTTGTTGAGTAGTGTAAGGGGGCGCATATGGCAACAAAGCGGTCATAGGCCATCACAGCCAGGAGGAAATTGTCCATGTCCACGAACATGAATACAAAATACATCTGTGTGAGACACCCAGAAAAGGAGATGGTCTGAGTCCCGAGTATGTAGTTGGCCAGCATCTTGGGGACAGTGGTAGAGGAGAAGCAGATGTCCACAAAGGACAGGTTGCTGAGGAAGAAGTACATGGGGATGTGAAGGCGGGAGTCCACGCCAATGACCAGGAGGATGAGCAGGTTTCCCAGGACCGTGGCCAGGTACATGCTCAGGAAGAGTACAAAGAGGAGCTGCTGCTGCTGGGGTTGCCTGGAGAGCCCAAGGAGGAGGAACTCAGAAACACTGGACTGGTTTGTCCCTCTCATGAGCTAGATGCAGATGCAGGGAACAGAAGCAGAGCTCAGAAACCTAGAAGCTATGGCTCTGGATACAACAATCCAAGCTCCACCCACACGGTCATGTTAATGAAACCTATATTAGAATTGCTCAGTCAGGATCCACCCCTAGTCTCTACACCTTTAACTTCCAACTCCCAGTCCTAGATGACGGTGGTCCCACTGGACTAATCTTTAAAATTTTGTCAAATATAAAAACAAACACAGACACAAACAAAGCCCTTCTCTGCCATGTATGTCTCTATGTATGTATGTCTCTTTTAACATTCCCAGGCTTTCTCCCACTTCTTAGTAGCTTACAGAGACAAGTAAAACAGTTGATTATTATCAGTGTATCTCAAGCTCCAGGTGATGGATTCAGGACTCTATCATTCCCTGCATCTGGAAGATTTAACAAAGGAGGTTCTTCAAAGAACCTCCCTCATTAGTAACTATACATATAAATAACTTCACTCATTAGTAAAAAATATATATGTGTGTATATGTATATGTATGTATGTGTATATATATATATCTCCTGTTATAATCTTACCTAGAAGAAGTTGGTACTGTGGATAGCAAGGTTTCTTCACCTCTGAGGAACCAACCAATGTTCTTTTTTATTATAAGGTTTGGAAAGTATTGGAAATATTGGTAGATCCTGAGTGAGTGAGAAGCAGAATTCATTGTCTAAGCCCTCTGCACAGAGAAGGATGTTTAGGGGAATTAGAAACAGGTATTTACAGTGGCTTCCATGGCCACTGGGACCAGATTCCCTGAAAGCCTCATCAGAGACAAGTGGAAAATAATTGTCCCATCTATTTCCTGGTCCCTGTGGACCCAACAATGATGACTAAGTATAAGGATCTAACCCCTGGGTCAGAACTTGGGAGATAACTATTCAGGGTGTTCCTGTTATGGAGGAAGAAGTTGGCTTTTTTTCTCAACCAAAATTATGAGGTAGGAAATTACCTAAGCTTTAGAAGGGTTACAGAATTTGGGAAGCCAGAAAAGCACGATAAACGCCCACCAGAATCCACCCCTCTGGTTGCACACATTAACACATATCCCTCTTACCAATTTATGCTTCAGTAGGAGAGACACTATCTGGCCTAACATAACACAACTATATTTCTCACAATATGGGAACAACTCAGGCCCATCAGTTACTGTATCCAGGTCTATAACCAGGATCTCGGCTACTCCAATCATGTTCCCATCATGACATTCTATTACTTCTAAATCAAACTTGAAAGCTAACCAATAACTACATATCCTATGTGTATGTAAAACAGAGGGACAAAGGCAGAGAAAGGAAGAAAGCTAGCTGGCAACAATAGAGAGATAGACACATAACAAAGGAAGGAGGAAAATATGACTGGACATTGTAGTCTTCATTTCCACAGGTAGCCATGAACCCTTAGTTGATATTAATAATTTTCCTTATCTGCAATCTAATTCATGTTCCCTTTGTCTTTAGCCAGCATCTCAGCTGTTCAAGTTTTTAAAAATCGATATAGTAGCCCGAACTTTCATGTTGGAGATTTGACCTCCTTACAATCCTGCCCAAATAAGATGATCTAGTCTTTCATTAGCTGCCATCAGAAGACATGGCCATTCCAGAATCCACTCCAGGAGATCTTTCCATCCATAATCCTCTCTGCTACCAGTGTGTAACAGCAAAACTATTTTTTAGTCATAGTCAAAGTCATAACAATATTAGACTCTCTTTTTTTGGTCAGTTCATCCAGCAGCAAATTGAGCCCAAATTGACCAGCAAGAAGTCTCTTCAGAGCCCAGTGTTCCTGGGATAAGAAGTAAAATTTTGCAAGTAGATCATTAGGTATTACAAAAAGTAGTGCCCACTTTTACCTCTTGTTTCCTTGCCCCATAAATTCCTGGTTGGTAGAAAGTTCAGCAGATATTGTCCACTAGTATGAAACTTACATTGTATCCTGTAAAACAGCACCCTAACCTCACAAGGTAACCTCAACTGGTGCCCAAACTGAGTCTTTAAAAGACCATTTCTCTATTCCATAAGGTCAATTGCTCCAGGTGTTGGTGTACAAGTAAATTCCAGTGAATCACATGGACACCAGCCTTATCCCTTGTATTAATTATCTATTGTTGAGTAACAACTTATCCCCAAACTTAGCAACTTAAAACAGTAAACATTTATCTCACACAAATCCTGTGGGTCAGGGACCTGGTAATGGTTTAGATGAATGGTTCTAGATCAGGACTTGTCATGAGACTGCAGTTAAGTTGTCAGCAGGGACCCAGTCATCTGAATGCTTGACTGTGGCTGGAGGAAGGGCTTCCAAGATGGTGTCCTCACATTACCTGTGGCAAGAAAGCCTCAGTTCCTCACATCAACTTCTCCATAGAGCTAACTTGATACGTCCTTGCAACAGAGTAACTGGTTTCCCAGAGCAACTGATTCAAGAGAGCAAGATGGAAACCACACTATCTTTTGTGATGGAGCTCCTACAGTCACACACCATCATTTCCGCAAGATTCTGCTGTTTACACAGTGCAACGGACAGAATGGTTATGTCCCCACAACATTCAGATGTTGAAATCCTAACCTCCAAGGTGATGGTATTAGGAGGCAGTGCCTTTATGAGGTGATCTGGTCATGAGGGCAGAACCCTCACTAATGGTATTAGTGCCCTTATAACAGAAGGCCTGAGAAAGCTCCCTTGTCCCTTCCACTAAGCGAGGTTACACTGAAAGACTGCCATCTATGAACCAGGAAATAGGCTCTCACCAGACACCAAATGTGCCAGCATCTTGATCCTAGATTTCCCAGCCTCCAGAACTGTGAAAAAATACATTTCTGTTGTTTATAACTAGCCAGTCTATGGTATTTTGTTTTAGCAGCCTGAATGGATTAAGACACAGTCAGCCCTCCCTGCTCGGCAGGGAGTCTGCTTCTCCCTCTGACCCTCCTCCCTCTCATGCTCTCTGTCTCTCATTCTCTCTGTCTCAAATAAATAAATAAAATCTTAAAAAAAAAAAAAAAAGACACAGTCAGCCCAAATTAATGTGGGAAGGGATTACACAATATCAGGATCACTGGGGGCCATTTTGGCAACTGGTTATCACATTCTTTTTTATTAAGGATTTATTTATTTATTTGAGAGAGAGAGAGCAGGGGGAGGTGCAGAAGGAGAGAGAGAGAATCCAAGCACTCTCCACTGAGCACGGAGCCCAATCCAGGGCTCAATCCTAGGACCCTGAGATCATGCCCAGAGCCGAATCAAGTCAGATGCTTAACCGACTGAACCATCCAGGCGCCCCTCACATTTCTTTTATGATAAAGTGAGTTCCTTACCTTGAAACGATATTTGTGGGATGCAGATGGGATAGATCCATTCATCCCTAATACACAGCCTATCAGTCTTTAAGCCTCAGGTTGATTAGTGCCTTTTCGTGTATATTAGTTTCCTTTTTCTGAGAGCTTCTATACATTCCCAGATACCTATGCTCACAAAGGTTTTCTACCTGTATCACACCATTTTCATTGTATCATCTTGATTAAGTGACAAGTGATACATGGAAAGTCATAAAGATCCTAAGTCTGAGGACCAAGGATCACACCTTAACCTCTCCTTTACGTTTGCAGTATAGGCCACTGTCTCCAGAACCAAATGCATACATCTACATTGCCTCCTACATTAGGAATCTTGGAAGCTTAAAGCAGCAATTCTCAAACATTAACGTGCACAGAAATCACCTAGGCATGTTGTTAAAGCAATGAATCTGAATCAGGAAGTCTGGGATGCAGCCTGAGATTATGCATTTCTAATAATCACCCAGGCAATGCCTGGTCCTCGGAGTACAGAGGCGCCCTTACTCTGAGAAGGGCCCGAGCCACCTACACCCGCTTTTGCGCTGCTGGCTCCTCAGCCAACCTCGCCTTTTGAAAGGATATCCAAACTGTAAGTCAGACCTTGACTTCAGACAGTCCCAGCCTGTGGAAATAGAAGATAGGATTCCTAAACACCTGTGACCCATCCTAACCAGGAAGGGAAGACGATGGGGCACAGCCCTAAAGGACCGGAGCAGGTGCAGCGGAAGGCTCATGGGACCCGCCAGTTGCTCAGGTTTTGTGGGCACCAACCCCAGAGTGCCTCTTTACGCCATTTCGGGGGAAAAGAGTCAGAGCCACTTACGGCAGCGTAGAGCCCCCATTCCATGCTGGAGTCACCAGGCTGCCGCACTTCGGAGAAAGACTAAGCCTCACCTCCTCACAGAGACCTTGCAGAGCGGAGAATCCGCTCCTCCTATCTAATTGGGCAAGAGTACGCTGGGCGGGGGCGACGCAGCCTCTGACTGGTTCCGTTTGAGGGCGGGTACAGCGCTTCCGGGAAGTGATTCCCACTGATCCGCCTCTCCCGCGCTGCGCCTGCGTGTGGCCGACTGTTTTAGGGCGGTCCTCCGGCTCGCCGGCGACTCCGGACACCCGGTGGGTGGAGGGGACGTGCGAAATGTGAGAAAAGTGCGAAATTAAGGGGCTCAAAAGGCTTAGTAATCAAAGTAAGTAATATTTCAGTGCAGTGGTTTTTTGGGGGGGGTTTTTTGCAGTTTTTTTTTTTTAAAAAAAGCAAGTTAATGCAAAAAATCTTTTAACAAAATATAAGAATTTTAAAGACAAGCTGAAAGTTAATATTATTTAACACCTTCGCTTAGTCAAGAGAAATTGTGAAGTACGGCAGTTCTCTCAGTTGAAACAGGCAAAGAAGATTCTGAAAACATTACTGATGAGTTTACTCATACTAAGCTAGTGTCAAAGATAAACACAGCCAGACATTAGTTAAAGCAGTGAAAACAGATTTTATTCAGTAACTACTGACGGTAGGGGAAGGAGCTGAGCTCCATTCCATTTTCTGCAGAGGTGATTGGGCATTTTAAAGGGAGAATGAGGAAGTAGGGAGCGGGAATAGCAGAAGCTTCAGCAGTCAGGGAAATGAAAAATTACAAAAAGCTGGATGAGAGGGTTGGTCCTTGTGAAACCCATCTGGGTTTGCTAATTGGCCCTTATGGAAGCAAGGCTCCTACCCTACCATAAAGACAGGATCCCTATCTTCAGGTGTTTCTGGAACAAATGGTACATTCTTTTGGCAGCCTTGGTTTTTCTGAGGCAGGCAGTAAGGACACCTAGGGTCATCCTAGGGATGTGGCCTTGAGCTGTTGGGTGTTAGTTGTTCAAGTCTTTTAGGCCAAAGTTGAACATAGTCAAGAAGAGGGAGGAGCCTGATTAGAGTTTGGTCAAGAAGGGACTCTATCCTTGGAAAAGTAAAATTATAAAAGATTCTGATTTGGGTGTAAATAAAATATTGCAGTTAAAATAGTGTGAGTTTAGGGGTTCCTGGGTGGTTCAGTTGGTGGAGCATGTGACACTTCATCTCAGAGTCCTTGAGTTTGAGCCCCACTTGCGTTAGGCATGGAGCCTACTTAAAAAATAAATAAAATAATAAAATAAAATGTGAGTTTAAATATACCTACTTTTAAATTTTTCAATATTTTTGCAACCACTTTAAATGTAAAAAAAATAACCATTAAAAAATACATTAAAACATGCATATCAAGTTTCATTATGGCTTGGAAGTTCTGATGTGAGGTGGCAGAGAGCTGAACCAAGCCCATCAACTCCTTTAGGAAACTTCATCATCCTCTATAAGTAACTTCCCCATATTGAATCATTCATATAATCATTTATTCACATGAGAGAATTGTTGAGCAACCACTATATTGCAGATACTGTTGAAAAATCTGGTCCCTGCACTCATGGAGTACAGCCTAGTTGGGGTAGGGAGGACAGGGAGAAAAACACAAAATAATTTCCTCAGCATACTGACTTCTGCTTCTCATTATTCGTGAAACATGCACTTTATATGAACCAGACCCAGGAACTAACACTCTGTGTGCAAATGTGAATAATGACTCATTTCTTATTTCAAAGGCCTTATATGTTCATAGTGGAAGACCCCATAAGAATGCAAACACCTGCAACTGAAGGTTGTACAGGTCATATGGAAAAGATAAGGCAAGCAGTCCTATTGGGTGGTGTATTGGTTTCCTAGGCCTGCCGTAACAAAGTATCATAAATTAGGTGACTTTAAACAACAGAAATTTATTCTCTTACAGTTTTGGAGACTAGAGGTCCAAAATTAAGGTGTTGGCAAGAATGGTTCATTCTGGAGGCTCTGAGAGAGAATCCGTTTCATGCCTCTTTTCTAGCTTCAGTGGCTGCCATCAACCCTTAGGGTCCTCACTTAGGATTGCTTAATGCCAACAATCCTTAGTGATGCTTGTAGATGTACCATTCCAGTCTCTGCCAATCTTCACGTGGCATTATTCCTGAGGATCTTTGTGTCTTCACATGGTGTTCTCTCTGTGGGTAGCTGTGTCCAAATTTCCCTCTTCTTAGGAGGACAGCAGTCATTGAAATTGGACCTGCCCTAATCCTGTATGACCAAATCTTAACTTGATTACATCTGTAAATACCCTATTTCCAAATAAGGTCATATTAATAGGTACTAGGAGTTAGGACTTGAACATCTTTTGCAGGCTGGGGGACACAATCCCACTCACTACAGTAGGGAATAATATTGAGGAATGATAGGGAAGTAGAATGCAGAGCACTTAGTGACTGATTGGATATGTGGGATTAGGGCAAGTGTAGGAGGATTGCAACATTGATTGAGAACCACTAATTGAGATAGGCAGTGCAGGCAGGAGAGAAATGCATCTGTGCTTGTTGGGATGGATCATGGTATGATGGTGGCAGTGTGGATTCCATGGGTTCCATTAGGAAGTGTTGGGTGTGAAGACATCCAGTCTGGGCAGAATGGATATATAGGTCAAGGGGAGGTCTGACAGATATGGATTCAGAAGTCACAAGAACATAGATGTGGTTAAAGACACGAAGTAGATGTGATTGCCCATGAACAGATGATAGACAGAAAAGAAGTCCAAGCATATAAACCCAAGAGGAAAACAAATGTTTATAAAATGGTAGAAGAGGAGGAGGTGGCAAAACAAATGGAGCAAAGAGACACAGAAACACGCAGAGATCAGTGTTTAAGAAGCTAATAGAGTAGTGAGTTTTAAAAAGAAACTAGTGGTGGGACGCCTGGGTGGCTCAGTCAGTTAAGCGTCTGCCTTCGGCTCAGGTCATGATCTTGGAGTCCTTCTCCCTCTGCCTGCAGCTCCCCCTGCTTGCGCTCTCTCTCTGATAAATAAATAAAATGTTTAAAAAAAAAAAAAAGAAACTAGTGGTAAACAATGACACATGCACAGAAAAATCAAGCAAAATGACTGAATAGCAACACTGTATTTTGTAAAATTATTATTTTTTTTAAAGATTTTATTTATTTATTTGAGAGAGA